GTGATAGCTAAAACTTGGAAACAGCCCATTTTCCCATCAGTTGGAAATTGGATAAAGAAGATGTGGTTTTTCTATAAAATGGAATACTACTCAGCCATAAAGAATGAGAAATTAGATTCATTCATAGGTAAATGGATACATATTGAGGATATACGCCTAAGTGAAATAAGTAAGTCACACGTGTAAATACCCAATAGTTTCTCTGGTGTGAAAAACTATAATAGTACATAAGATCCTAATGAGATAATTGACAAGTGAAATAGGAAGAAAAGGGCTAAAGGTGTAGGGAAAGTGGGAAGGGTAGGGGAAAGGTAATAAGGGAAAAGAAAAAAATATGACAAAATGAAAAAATGGAAATAAAGTGTTTTTAAATGGGGAGGAGAGGAGGGGGTGAAGGGAGGGCAGGGACAAGGGGAAAAGATGAGAACCAAGACCTGTCATGTAGAGGTACAAGATCCCAGTAATGAATGTAACTGTACTGTATACCTAAAATGTACCAATAAACTCAATTAAAAAGGGAGTATGGTCTTGGGCCAGGGATTTAGCTCAGTGGTTCTGCCACCTGCTTCACAAGCACAAAGACCTGAGTTTGATCCGTGGTACCCCAAAAAAAAAAAAGTATGGTCTCAGGGTGCATCCATTTAGTTAACAAATGTCTCAGATGTCTCAAGCTTATCCTTCTTTATGGCAGAGTAGTACTCTATTGTATTTTTTAAAAACACATCTTCCTTATCCATTCAACAGCGATGGGCATTTGGACTGTTCCCAGGATTTAGCTATTATAAGCTGTGTTGTTATAAAATGAGTATGCATATATTGCTGTTGTGTGGTGCTTTTAATTCTTTCAGGAAGATACCAAGGAGGGGACTAGCTGGGTCAAATGGAACCTCTAGTTTCAGCTTTGTTTTGTTTTGTACTGAGAATCAAACTCAGGTCCTTGTGCTTACAAGACAGGTGGCAAAACCACAGAGCTAAAACCCCAGCAGGTTTGTTTTTGTGAAATTTCCATACTGATTCCAGTGGTTGCACCAGCCTACATTCCCACCAACAGTGGAGAAGGGTTCCTTTTTCCCATAGCTCCTCCAGCATTTGATATTGGTTAATTTCTTGATAGCAGCCATTCTTTCTGGAATGAGATAGAGTCTCAGCGTTGTTTTAATTTGCATCTCTCGAATGACCAGTATGTTGAATATTTTTTCATATATTTATTTGCCATTTCTACTTCATCTGAGAAGTGTCTGTTCATTTTAGATGCCCTTTTTTGGATTGGGTCTTTGAGTTTGAGGGGGGTGATTTTTTTTTAAGGTTTTTATATATTCTAGATAGTAGTCCTTTGAGGAACAACTGGCAAAAATTTTTTCCCACACTGTGGGTTATCTCTTCACTCTGTTGGTGGTTTCTTTTGCTGTGCAAAATCCTTTCAGTGATATCCCAGTTGATTCTTTGTGGTATTTCCTGTGCATTTGGGGGTTTTTTGTTCATAAAATCTTTGCCTATATCAATGATTTAAAGAGTTCTACTTATTCTATCTTCCAGCTGAGTTAGTGTTTCTGTTTTAATTTTTAGATCTTTGATCTATTTTGATTTTAGTTTAGTCCTGAGTGAAAGATATGCGTCTAGTTTTAATCTTTAGCAAGTAGAAACCCAGTTTTTCCAGCACCATTTATTAAACAGATTGTCTTCTTCCTGTGAAGGTGTTTGGCTCCTTTGTCAAAGATAAGGTGGCTGAGTACATCTGGAGTTGTTTCTGCATCTTCTGATCTGTTCCATTGATCCTTAGGTCTGTTTTTTGGCCCCAGTAGTATGCTGCTTTTGTCACAGTAGCTTTGTAGTATAATTTCACATCAGGGATTGCGATGCCCCCTGCCTTGCCTTTGTTGCCCAGAATTGTTTTTGCTATTCTAGGTCTCTTCTGGTTCCAAAGGAATTTTAGGATTGTTATTTCTAATTCTTTGAGATATGCTATTGGAATTTTGATGAGGGTTGCATTAAATCTGTATAACAATTTTGGAAATATGGCCATTTTCTCTATATTGGTTCTTCCACCCCAAGAACAAGGTATATCTTTCCATTTTCTGATATCCTCTTCAATCTCCTTTTTCAGAATACTTTAGTTTTCAACGTAGAGGTCTTTTACTTTCTTGGTTAGATTGATTCCTAGGTATATATGAATTTTTTTATATACAAGTCAATGGCATTAATCAAATCCACAATGTTGTAGAACTGTTACCGTCATTCCAAAACATTTTCATTATCCCAAACAGAAAAATCGGTCCCTGTTAAGTACTAGTTCCCCAAACTCCTGAGCTCCTCTACTTCCTTTTTCTATTAATTTACTATCAAGCATTCTTAATCAACTGCATGAGCCTCCTAAGCAATAGAAAAGAATGGAACCTGAGGTGAAAAGGAAAGGGGGATTTTGGATAAAAACCTAATTCTCATTTTCTTCAACATGACTTAAAAACAGTGGGGAACTTCTGGCTGAGCGGTTTGTGCCCACATTCAGAGAATCCTGATGGAAGGCCCTCTGCAGTGCTAACTGAGTTATCTTTCATCTTCCAGTGACCATGCAGCAGGTGGCCAGGACCGTGGCCAAAGTGGAGCTGTCAGACCACGTGTGTGATGTAGTGTTTGCGCTCTTTGACTGTGACGGTGAGTGCATCCTCAGAGTCCAGAGGGAGCCCTGAGCCTCGCTGCCCTTCTAGGCTTTGTGACCAGCATCAGTATACAAGGCCCACACTGCTCAGCAGCTCATGAGATGAGAAACACAACCCCTGGCCCTGGTTTGCATTTTCCATTTCTTCTTCTATGTGGGACTTTTTGTTTATTTTGTTCTGTTTTGAGGTGCTAGGGATTGAACTCAGGCCCTGAGTTCAATCTTCTTATAATTCTAGTTTGCCTGTAGGCCTGAATTAATCTATGACCAAAAGGCTATTAAACAGGAGGCACATTTTCGAGATTGCATCATGTCTGTTTTCACCAATTGCAATCCTAAGTGGCCCCAAATAAATGTAATTTCTTAGAAAAAAATGGAAATAAAAATATTATACCCAACTTGCTGCTTAGTAAATAAAGAGCACTCAATATTTTAATGTCTCCTGAAAGTAAACAGTACCTATATGTCTCTATAGAATACAGCAGATGCCAGACCTTCTGCCAGATGCTGAGAGCAGAGATAGAGGAAGAAAATGTAACCAAGTCAGGGCAGTGTGAGCACAGGTCAATGGAGGTTTCCCGGAAGAGTCTCCGGAGCTGAATTGCAAAGAGTGGGCAGGAGCTGGCCAGGTAGAGGGGAGTGAGATGGAGGAAGCTCTCCAGGTAGGGCGGTGGCATACACAAAGGCATGGGCAGGGACCCAGACAGGAAATCTTGAATTCACTTGCATCCTCACCTCATGTCCAGCAGGACCTCATTACTTGTAATCCTGAGCAGCCACACCGCTTCCCCTGTGCCCCGGAGCATCCTCTGCTAGCCCCCTGCTAGCCTTTTACTCCACTGTGGACATAATTGGTCTCTCCCACACCCCAGGAGTATTTCAAAGGACAAAATACAAAGCTTCTTTACTTCTTTATTCTCAGCACCCGGCACAGGCCCTGGCATACACAAAACTCTCATTCAGCTTTTGTCACACCACAGTGAACTGTCACTGAGCTGCGGGTGGAGACATCAAGGAAAGAGCAGACTCGTTCATCCTGAGCCTAGAGAGCCGAGCTTGGCTGTGAGAGGTGCTGGGCTTTGGAGCCAGCACAGTGTCGATGTCGACAGTGGCGTTTTCTCGCTGGCTATGGTGACCACCCTCCATTTACAATGTTGTGCTTATCTCTTCCTCTAGGCAATGGGGAGCTGAGCAATAAGGAATTCGTCTCCATCATGAAGCAGAGGCTGATGAGAGGCCTGGAGAAGCCCAAAGACATGGGTTTCACCCGTCTCATGCAGGCCATGTGGAAATGCGCACAGGAAACTACCTGGGACTTTGCTTTGCCCAAACAGTAACCTCAGACTACAGAGGGGAGCCCTGGAGCCCCTGGAGCAGAGCTCAGTGTAGCCCTTTCGTGCTGCTGCTTCCAACAGTAGTGCTGTCTTCTCCTGCGAGTGGCCTTCCATGGCTCCCCCCAGCCCCATGTTCTGCTAGGCTCTGACTTCCCAGTGATCACACCCACTGGTTCTCAAAAACCCAGACTCGTTTTCAAAGCTCAGACCGTGACTCCTCCATCAGCCTTCCCCATGCAGCACCCTGTGGACAAAGAATCCAAGGAGCGCTCCACACACCTGGCAGCCCTGAGAAACAGCCAGTCCTTCAGCCATTTTTGCCATGGATTTACCCTAACAAGAACTTCCTTGCTCTTCCTCCTGCTGGTGTTTTTAAGCTGCAAGTTGGGAAAAGTCTCTGGCAGGCAAAAAGAAGTCTGTGATGGATGACAATGACTTGGGCACCCTGAGCTGGCGGGAAGCCTGGGCCAGAGGAAGATTCTGTCAGACACAGTGATTCCGAGCTGAGGCCCGCTGCAGGAAGGCGATGTGCTCAGTGGGAGCAGATTCTGAATGTATAGCAGGTGCTCCACAGCCCTTCTTTTCTCTGGGCTCCCTAAGGGTCTGTGCTTAAGGAGCAGCAGCGAAGGAGCTCCTTTTCCCTGCTGCAAGTGCCATCTCCTCTCCAGGACAGGCCTCTGAAGCCACAGCATGGCTCACAGCCTGTCTGCCCTCTTCTTAAACACTCATAAAATATCACTTTAACAGTTTGCAATAAAGACCCCAAAGGCTCCTGTCTGCTTTATTTTAGGATCCATTGAGCCCTTTTCATTTTTCCTATCTCCTGGGATTCAGACCCCTCTAGCAGCAGACCTGTTTTGTTCCTTTCAGAGTCTGGTTCTTTCTGATCAAAGATAATGTGAGGCCCAAAGTGAGGTTATTTGGAGGTTGGTGGAGGCACTGTCCCCGCAGTTTGTCTAAAGTTTCATCGTGTGGTGGGGTCATGAGGAACCATGTGATACAGTGAACCTGAGTTTGAAGAACTGTAGCAACCTGTGTTGTGTGATGGACCCAGCTCCACTGTCCCCTCACCTGTTAAGAGATAGGTTGAGCTAAATGGGCTTCAAGGTTCCTTCCAGGTCTGAAAGCCACCACCTCAGTTCTCCAGAATCCTTGCAGCCTCCACAACCTCCAGGCAGTGCTCCCTGGCGACACATAACAGTGGTAACACCCAGAACCTGGTGCTTCCACCAGACAAGAGCAGAGGTTTCCTCCTGCACCTGTGGCTCCAACAGATGATACCAGTCCCAGCATTTCCACCAGAGCAATTCAGCAACCTTGTTTCTGACATGCTTTCAGGAGATCCTTTTTTTTTTTTTTTTTTTTTGGTCCCGGGGATTGAACTTGGGATCTTGTGCTTGCGAGGCAGGCAGTGGAACCACTGAGCTAAATCCCTGGCCCTAGATCCAATTCTCTCTAAGGAGTTTGCCATTCTCCTGCCCATCTGTCTTTAACTCTCCCTTTTGGGCTGTCCCTGGAGCCCAGATGTAGGATTTGCACTACTTGTTCTCCTAAGCCTAGCAAAATATGAGCAGTTCTTAAATTGGTGGAGGTTCAGGGTAGGGGGTTGAGACAGGGTCTCACTGTGTAGTCCAAGCTGGCTTTTTTTTTTTTTTTTTTTTTGTACTGGGGATCAAACTTAGGTCCTTGTGCTTGCAAGGCAGGTGGCGGAACCACTAAGCTAAATCCCCAGCCCTGAGCTGGCTTTAAATTTGCAACAGTTCTCCTGCCTCAGCCTCTGGAGTGCTGAGACTATAAGTATGCACCACCATGCCTGGCACCATTCTTAAGTTTGTCTCAGAATCTCCAAATCACTCTCCCCCATTCTACTTTCCCTAGCCCGAAAGAGAAGGCCCGTTCACAGCCTCTGTGGCTGTGATTCCCCTGTAAGAGGAGATGTGCCCTGGTCTAGCTGTACTGAGCTGGAAAGCATTGGCATGGCAGGGAGGGCACCAATCTCATCTGTAGCAACTTGAAATCCAGAATCAAGTGCACCTGTCTCAGGTACACACAACTCCACCTGAACTAGTCCGTTCCTAGGATTGCTGGAGGGAGGGCGGTACTCAGGCAATGTGACAGCAACATCCTGGCACGGGGGGGGGGGTTAAGTGTGCAGTGAAAGGTACAAGCTGAGCCACTCAGAAGTCCTGGGGCAGGTGAGTCTGGAGTGAGCTGCAAGGGAAACCGACCTTGGGTGTGAGCTGGGAAGCATTTGGGGACACATAAAGCTGATTTGTGCTTGTCTTTCAAATGCAAATTATTTTTTCCCTAGATAGAATAACTTCCCTCTTCCTTCAGGACTCAGCTCCACGTGTCCCCTCAACCCCTCCTTGGTTCCATGTCATTTTTTGTGGGATTGTCACCCACAAAGTTTAGATCCAAATAACTCCTGGCTGAAGTAAGTGACACTAGCAATGCCTTGATAAAATCCCTCCCACACTCCCACAGCCACCCTCTGCTTTGGTTGTTGCTGTCTACTTTAAAGACCAAACAGCTTACTGTATCCCTAAAATGTACCAATAAACTCAATTAAAGCTGAAAGAAAAAAAAAAAAAAAGACCAAACAGCTCAGGTCAGGGATTTAGCTCTGTGGCTCAGCGCCTGGCTTGCAAGTGCAAGGTCCCAAGTTCAATCCAATGTACCAAGAAAACAAAAAACAAAATAGGGCTTTTCCTCCACCCTGTCTGTGGCATCAAGGAGGGAAAGAAATTCAGGAGCCAGGCTGCTGGGCTTCCTTGACCTGGCGTTCAGCATCATCCAAAACAAGCAAGAAGAATATGAGATTGTTACTAAGGAAAAGCAGACTTGATGTAACGTGATTTTGAAAATCATTTTAACAGCTTTTAGTCCCCAGGTTGGAACAGAAGTTCTACAACAATATCCGACTTGACATAGAAGGAAAGGCTCAGCAATGGCGGCTGTGGGCCCCCAAGAAGGCAGCGGGAGCCTGGTTTGGGGGGGGGGGGGGGGGGGGGGTCTCTGGTTCAGTTTGTGGACTTCGAGTGCCACCTGCTGACAAGAAGGCTGAGTGCAGGGACTCAAGGCCTGGAGCCAGGGAAAGGAAGCAGTATGTCTGCTCCAGACCCATGGGCACCATCCATGGAGCAAAGCAGAAGGAACCATGAAGAGAGATGCCATAGACATGACTGAAATTGAGAAGAGGCAAAGAGCTAGAAGCATGTGCTGTCCTCTGGCCCTGGAATAGGACTTTACCAGTGAATGAGGACAGAATTCACACTATTCTACAGCTTCCTGACCTAGGAGGGCCAGGCACTGAGTAAGGTCGTCAAGGAATTGGCCTCTTCATGAAGAAAACAGAAGCAGCAAGGTTGAGTACAAGCTACCACGGGAGCTCTTAGAAAAGCAGGCGCATGGTTTCCCTCATATGAGAAACCCAATAAATAATTTAAAAAGCCGGTAAGATAATAGGGAAGAGGGAGAGAGATCTGCACATGAGACCAAGAGGAAAGGGAAGGAGAAATGAGAGGGTGGGAAATTAAAAGCATCGAGATGTGTTATGTACCTGCGCGATGAAGGGCGTTATGTACTCAAACCTGTACTACAAAAAAAGAAAGAAAAAAGCAGAAGAGCTGTCTGAATCCCAGCTTAGGAGATCAAAGCAGGTCTCTGAGGAAGTTTTTTTGGTTTGTTTTTTGTCATTTAGTTACTGTTTTTAATTAAACACAGTCATGCAATGGTCCCTGACTGCTTTGAAATTGGTTGAGTTTCTTAAATGATGCATTTTGATGTGAAAATATCCCAGTGCTCATTGTTTGGCACTCACACAAGCTACAATTTACGGGTGCTGACTGCCTTCTGGCTCGCTCCGTTCCAGCCACTTTCGTTTGATACTTTCGGAGGGCGATCAATCCTCCCTCGACTGCCTAGAAAGGGGGACCGTGAGGCCTAAAGAAAGACAATAGAGACTTGTGCAATTTCGTGGTACATAGTGGGCCGGAAGTGCCTCAGAGTGGGTTAAAGACAAACACTGCGAGCCTGCTGCTGTTGGGTTCACCCAGTAATCGGAGGAAGTCCTGTGTTGGTCGCTGAGGATCTTATGTTGGTGAGGGCGGTAAGGAGCACATTCTTACAATAGGTGGGATGAGATAGGCTAATAAAGAATTGTGTCCCCCCATCTTTTTTACTACTTGGTTCTCCAAGAACCAGGGTGTCTTCACCCTGATGTACTCTTGCCCGTGAGTGGCACAGTGTCATGGACCCTTGAGGTCTCAACTTGTGACTGGAGGCAAAATGGAGTTGTTTCTACATGGCATAGCCTGCTTGCGGGCAAGGTGACATTGGGCTTTAGACAGCTACAGTCACTTTAATTATGAAATGCTTTTTCCAAAAAATGTGTGTAAAATGGCCTTCGACGTGGTACTTGTTTCTGACCCACATCATTCCTCCTGGACCCCGTTAACGATGAGTACCAAGGTAGGGCTGTAGATGAGGAGTCTTGGAAATACAGAGGCTGGAAGCTGGCCACACGTGGGGGCCACACCTGGAATCTCAGCTACTTGAGAGGCAGGAAGGCAGCAAGTTCAAGCCCAGGCTGGGCCACTGAGCAAGACTCCGTCTCAAAAAATTACAAAGCAGGGATTGAGGGTGTAAATCAGTGGCAGTGTGTCCTGGGGTTAAAGACCCCATACCACTGCAGGGAGTATCAGGCAAACGCATGTGCAAAGATCCAAAAGATACTGAAGTTCTAGGCGGTACCCACTGTTGGTGGGAGTGGTTTTGTGACCCAAGAATTAAGATAGTGGTCATTCTCAAAAAAAGATTTTTAAAAAGACATTTGGGGGGCCAGGGATATAGCTCAGTGGCATAGTGCCTGCCTGGCAAGCATGAGGTCCTGAGTTAGATCCCCAGTACCAAAAAAAAAAATACATTTTGGGCACTGGGCAAAGTGGCGCATATGTGTAAACCTGGCGTTCAGGAGGCTGAGACAGAAGGATCTCCACAAGCTCAAGGCCAGCCTGGGCTACATAGTTCAAGACCAGCCTGAATTGCATAGTGAATTCTTGTCTCAAAAAAACAATAAATAGGGCTGGGGATTTAGCTCAGTGATTCCACCGCCTGCAAGCACAAGGACCCAAGTTAGATCCCTGGTACGCACAAAAAATCAATAAATACACTGAAGTATGACATTCCATTTCGGTATAATCACTTATTTCTAGCTGTACATATAGGAAGAGGAAAGATTTGATACATGTACATGTATTAAATAGGTTGCTGTATTTTAGAATTATAAACATTTTTCGTTATTGGAAAATGGGGACCTTCTACATACCTGTTTAGAACCAAAACCACCACGACAGTTTTTATAATGCCTGTATATTTGTGATGTAATGGTCTTGTGAAGATTTTTACTGAAAACTACCATTAGCCAGTCTTTCTTTGTTTTTTGTTTTTTGTTGTTTTTTTTTGGTACCGGGGATCGAACTTGGGTACTTGTGCTTGCAAGGCAGGCGGAGGAACCACTGAGCTAAATCCCTGGCCCCTAGCCAGTCTTTCTTAATGACAATAAATTAATTTTTTTTTTTTTGTATCAGGAATTGAACTTGGGACCTTGTACTTTCAAGGTAGGCAGCAGAACCACTGAGCTAAATCCCCAGCCCTATTAATACAATTTTTAAAAACCAATAAACAGTTTTGGGCAGACACAAAAATAACTCCTAGAAAAAAATGATGCAAATTTGAGGTCTGGAAGTGCAGCTCAGTGGCGGAGCTTGTACTCAGCATGTG